CTCGCGCAGATTGCGCGGCTAGCATCATTATATTTTCTCTCATATAATAGTATATATATTTTCTCAAATTATTATTAAAATATATTAAAATGACAACATAATTTTAAATTTTGTACTAACTTTACTAAACTACTAATGTGTAATATTCATATTGTATTATATATACGTGATAGTAATTGATTATTTTTAATATCAAATTTTAGTTATTTCTAAATTGTATTCTTATATTGATTTTAGACTCGTCTTTCAATATTTTTTTTTCAATTTCGAATTTTCGTTATTTGTAAATTGTATTTCTATATAGACTCTAGGCTCTTCTTCCAATATTATTTATTTTAGTTCTAAATTTTGAAAATTTCTAATTGTATTTATATGTGAACTCTAAACTCATCTTTCAATATTCTTTATTTTTTTAATTTCGAATTTTAATTACTTTTGTATTCTTCTTCTCATTTTTTAAATTTCTAATTTTAGTTATTTGAAAATTGTATTTCTATATAGACTCTAAACTCTACTTTTAACTTTATTGTTTTTATTTTAAATTTTAGTTAATTATAAATTCCTATATGGACTCTATACTTTTCTTCTAATATTCCTTATTTTTAATTCCGAATTTCTATTTTTTTTCTTAATTGTATTTCTATATAGACTCTGTACTCTTCTTCTAATATTCTTTATATTTTAGTTCTGAATTTTGGTTATTTCTAATTTGTATTTCTATTTGGACTCTAACCTAATTTTAATTTTCTTATTTTTTTAATTCCGAATTTCTATTAATTTTAAATTGTATACCAGCATAGTCTCTAGTCTACTCTTGCAATATTTCTTTTTTTAATTCCTAATTTCAGTAATTTTAAATTGTATTTCTATATAGGCTATGTTTTTCTTTTTCTCCGATAAATATGAGAATTTCTAAACCATGAGAGCGAGCGTGGGAGCTTCTTTTTTCATTACTTTAATAAGTTAATAAGATAGATTTGAATTAGGTTTAGCATTTTTTTTCCTCCAAATGCAAGCCTTCATGATTCACAATACTACGAGTCCGAGGCATATGCCACCAACTAAATGAACGCTACTCCCCACGACCACAAATATAAACATTTTCAGTGTTTGAAATATGTCCGCAAAACATCTCTAGATTAATAATTTCTCAATCCAACCACCTCTAATGATTTCCTATATTGCTACATTGCTAGACGTGATCTTTCCACGTCTCAAGTACATCAAAGTAATTTCATTTCAACCTTAATCTCTGTTAAAACTGCCAATCACTCCTTTTTAAAACTAAGCTTTTATAGAATTGAAATTTTGTATATGTATACTAATTTCAATTTACGGGAGTCCAACATATTTAGGGCTCCTTTGAAAGGAAAGAAATTTTCGAGGAATTTTTTAAAGGATTCAATTTCTATGGGAAGAATTCATATTTGGTCATTTGGAACAAAGTAATAACTCTTCCACATTCCTTTGAAATTTCTTAGGATTGTCTCAAATCATATAGATTTTGAAGGATTTCCAACATAAGGTCAAGCCTCTTAGAAAACTATTTGTGTTTTTCATGTAAGCTACCCAAACGCTCATTCTGCAGTTTTCATGTGTCTTTCCATCGCGATCATTCCTGCAGTTTTCCTACGATTTTTGATCCATTGGATTTCAATTAGGACTGATTGGATCCATGTCATTGCAAATATGTCGATTTAGATAAATATCATTACAATTTATCTATTTGTATCCATGCCATTCAAAATTGCACAAAATTAGAACAATGCCATCGTTGTCACGTTTTCCATCATCACATAGACCAAAATACCCCTAAACATGGGACCCACATGTCAGTTGCATCTTCTTCCTTCATCCTCCCTTCTTCTTTCTTCCCCATCTCGTTTCAAATGCGGCAACTAACAAGGAAGGCACGCATCTCGGCCACCGGCGACGGCAGTGGGGTCACCGTCGCCGTCGTCCTCCTGATCCCTGTTCCCTGCCCCTCTCCTTGTCGGCGGGGATATGCAAGAGCGGTGGACTCGCCAGTGTCGGTTGGAAGCAGCTCCTTGAGTGCGCGTTGGACACGGAGCCCCTCCTACCAGCGCCAACAAGCTCCTCACAATGGACACCGCTGGCAACACTGCTCGCTCCTCCGCCTCCTCCATGCTGTTGTCGCCCCCTCCTTCCCCTTCCTCCCCATCTTCCCAACCAGTGGCATCCTCCCCATCCTCCTACTAACTCACTTGCTCCCTCCACAAAAGCTGGATGCGAAGAGGTCGACGCTGCTCCGGCGACACGGTGGCGCGGCGAGTAGAAATGAAAACGGAGCATATACAGATGGATAATGCTTATACCATATTCATTTTTTATATTTTTTGTCGGATACGAAAACAAATACGAATAGCTTGGATACGAAAACAAATATAAATTATCTAGAATACAGATAAGGATCGAATATGATCAGACGCGAATACAGAAATTTTTTTTTCTCGGAACACGGAAACCACCTCAACATCTAATAGTAACAAATACCATCATTTGTAATTAGCTCATTTTATATAAAATATAGTATAATTTATAAAAAAAATATTTTAAAGTTTAAATTGTATTAACAGTGAGGACTGGTGTTAAGAGATGGACTACTATTAAAATCTAAAAAGGTAGATTTAAGGTTATAGAGTTATAAAGAAATGTGGTCTGTCTCATGGCTTCAGCGGATATCCGAATACGTCGGAAACTCCGATACCATATCTGTATTCGTATTCATATCTGTAACATCCTGGCCTAATTAGGACGAGGCTTGTATGGCCCATGTGAGCTGTGTGCTCATGTTTAGTACCACCTTACTAGTTTAGCAATGGTGAAACCAACTTATGAGACCTTGTCTCTCCAACCATGCCACTCTCGAGTTAACCCTTTTATACGAAGCGAGGACGAAAGTGTAAGTGGAGTGATATGTGTAAGTGGGCCCGCCCGTCAGTCGGGCTGAGCTGCGTGGTTCTGGAGGGAGGGCTGCTATAGTATCCATACCAGAACTATCCAAGAATTATCCATATTCTTTTTCTCCGTTTTCATCCCTAGCAGCGAACGATGGCAGCATCATCCCTAGCGACGCGGTGGCACAAAGTGTGTCCGCGACCATTGGATGCGCCTCTCCCACTGTAAGGGATTGAGAGAAAAATAAGAGGGAGAGAAAATTACCCAAACACCCCTATTAAATGAGAGATGGTATGAAGTGGGAAGGTAGTTGAGGGTAAAGTGAAGATAAATTTGAATGGGATGTGATTGATGTGATAAGTAGTATGGTAAGTTATACATATTTTAGGATAAAAATAAAAGCTAGAATTGGACTAATAGTGAGACGATGGGAGTATTTAGGAACATAGGGAGGAGAAATGCTTATTTCTAGACGAAGTACCACACGAGTATATCAATGAGATGCCATTTCTAATATATCATGATTGAAGGGCTACTAAGGATACTATTATTCTCATGCACGAGAATAAAGCGGCATAAATCAGTGGGGGTAACTTGAAGGAATAAGTTCACCCGAGGTGCCTCAACTTAACAGTGAGATTTTTTAAGATCCTTTAACCACAAAATTAGAAATGTCTACCTCTAAACTCATAGCACGCGGGAGTTCCTCCTGGAGTTGAAGGAGGAGGCCGAGGACGACGAGGGGACGCGGGTCAGGAACGGCTGATGATGATCCCACCGCTTCAGGGGCGCGTCCACGGCGGGGGCGCCGGCGGGTTTCTTGGACATGAGGTAGAGGAGGCTCGCCACCGGCGCGGAGCACGTCCGCAATGGGGAACGCGACAGCTGCGGCAGCCGTCGCGTGCTCCTCCCAGAGTTGCATGACGAGGTCGACAAGGACGACGACGAGGCCCGCGAGAGGAGCGGCTAGGCATGCGCCTCCCGCCGCTTCAGATTCCCACCAATCTGATCCTTCGCCTCACCGTCGCCCAGCTTCTTGGACACAAGCATGAGCAGATTGCGCCACCAATGCCCACTACACTGCGAACCTCCAAGCACGGCGGAGGCGAGCACGATGGGGAAGGGGGGCGCAGTGGCGGGAGCATCGGCATGTGCCTCACACCGAAGAACAGCTCGTCAGCGGCGGACAGCACGGCAGCGACCGCGTAGACGCTGAACTCGAACTTGTCATCCTCCTCGTTGTCCAGCGGCGGCGAGCGTGGCCGGAGCAGGCGAGCGAGCGCGCGGCGGCCGGCGGAGTGGAGTAGAGCGGCGGCGGCGGGCGAGAGCACGGCCGGCGGAGCGGAGTGGGCCGCGGTGGGGCCATCTACCGCCGGCTGCGCGTCATCTTCGAGAGGTTAGAGAAGAGAAGAGAAGAGAGAAAAGAACAGGAAAAAAAAGAGAAGAAATAAGATATGTGGGCCGCATATTTTTTTCATCTCACTTACATGTGGACCCCGTACTTTTTTTATTTATTTTTTCTGGCTAGAATGCCATGTCAGTGAAACCACCCATATATACTACCATAGAGCCTTGAGTACACGGTTTATATGAGTTTAGGGATACACATTTCTGGTTTGTGGTTAAGGGACCTCAATAAATCTCGTTGTTAAGTTGAGAGATCTCTGGTGAACTTTTTCCTAACTTGAATATTGCCATGATTCGCTTGGAACATGATCATTCATTGAGGCCCAGCTCTGAGGGCTGATGCAGCCCAACTATACCTATTCTAGCCCAGTTCATAATTACATGGTAGCAAACTGGGCCTCCAACAATCTAACAGTTGCGAGTAAATACAACTGTTACCACCAAAACAAATTTGTTAAACACAAGCGTTGATGAAGCAATGTTTTTCTTTTTCTCTATAATAACTCTCAAAGGGAGAAGAATCAAAGAGCAAAACTATGAAAATGAAAGAGCTGAAACTAAACACTCGAACGCCAATATGGGGAGAGAAGAAACAGCTATACAGGTCTCTTTCTTCTTTAATATATACACTGTAAATCAAAGATACTTTCCCCCTCGAGGCCAAATGAAGTCAATCTCAGTAAGAAGATATTTTTTTACTAAAGTATCGACAAGTTGTGCCCAATGTCTCAGATAAGGTCCAAACAATGGACCTAGTTGATAATTCCCAACACGCAAGGAACGTCCAAGAAATGGACCTGCGAATGCCCAACATGCAAGGGGCAAATTGGTCTTGTCATGAAAGCTAAAAGCCAAAGGATATCGTTCCCAAACTCAAGCTCAACTGCTCAAGCATCGAGTGGTGGGCAGAAACAAATCCTTCCACGATAGTACTTCGCAGAGCAAGAGCAGCAGCATAGCAAAGATTAAGAGGAGATGCTTAATCTTCACACCATTAGGATGTCCATTCCTTCGCTACACAGATCCTCCCCATACCGATGTGCGCTGCTAAAGAGGAAGAGATCTTGTATCCGTGCCTGCAGCTCTGAAGATGATGGATCCGATGCTTCGTCGTCGCTTGGCGGAGACAAACGCCAGCAGGAGGTCCTTGCGAAGATCGCAATGCTTCAGGCGCAGAAGGTGCGCATCACAAGCTTCTTGGACGAGCGCTCTGCTTACCTGACCAAGTTTGCGAAGGATGCGGACACCGAGTTCGATCTGATTGGCCAGAACGCCATGAAAGAGCTTGATGAAGTTGGGGACCAGGTGAGCAACTCCCACAATGAAAGTTGAGCAGTTTATTGTTTCTCACCATTTGACAAGGTACCTGATGTGGTAGATAATGGAGAGGCTGGACAGCAAGATGCAGGCCTTTGAGGAGACTGCTGAAGTTCAAAGGCAGGAGATAGAAATGAACGAGAGGGTGCTTGAAGACTTCGAAGATTGGATTGAGAAGGAGAAAAATGAAGGTATGTTCTTCAAAAGCCTTGGGAAGGTGAAGCCTCGCAACAAGAAGAAACTCACAGTAAAACCAATACCCAAGCTAGAAGCACAAAAGGTCAAAGATATTGCAAAAGAAAGTGCAGGATCAAAAACTAGGATGAACATTTACCTTGGGCTCATGGCAATACTCGGGCTTACAATTGCAAATGCCGTCTTCGCAACACCTGAGGTGGAGTGGAGGAAGGTTGCAGCTCTGGGTCTAATATTCATTGGTTTGGTTGCTCAGGTCATCTACGAGCAGGATATCTCATCACCAGAAGCTGAAAAGAAGGGAGGAAAAGAAGAATGAATGAAAGACTTGAGAGATAAGCATGAAAAAGTAGCAGTAGATTTTAATCAACATTTTCACAAGAAATGTAAAGTGTATAAAGTTCATATGAATATATAGTCTTTTGCAATCCAAGAATTTATTTTACTTGTAGCTTGGCCAATAGACCACAGGTTTCTCAAACCTGTGATTTGATAAACTCAAGCTAACTTCACTCTTGCATCAGATATATGTTTCAGCCATTAAACTTTCAAAAGCCAAAAACAAGGTAACTGGGTTACAATCAGATGCACCTAAAAGGCGTCTTTCTCTAGTTGTAATTCAAAGTGAATACTCTAACAGAGCAAAGTATGCGTCCAAAGGCATTATATTATCATAGGGCAAGAGAAATTATTGGCCATAAATCTGCAATTTGCATCTATAGTTTTTAAATCTCATAAAGTTATAGGAGTACAATCCAAGAATTATTTTGTTTGTAGCTTGGCCAATAGACCACAGGTTTCTCAAACCTGTGATTTGATAAACTCAAGCTAACTTCACTCTTGCATCAGATATATGTTTCAGCCATTAAACTTTCAAAAGCCAAAACAAAGTAACTGGGTTACAATCTGATGCACTTAAAAGGTATACTTCTCTTTGTTGTAATTCAAATTGAATATTCTAAGAGACAAAAGTATGTGTCCGAAGGCACTATATTATCATAGGGCAAGAGAAACTATTGGCCATATGGCTGCGATTTGCATCTATAGTTTCTAAATCTCATAAAATTATAGGAGTACAAAACAAAAAAGAAAAAAAATCTGAAAAGAACTTGGTCCTAGGCTGGTTGAGAAATACAGACTTTCAGTTGTTTTAGTCCTCAAGCTTGGCAAATGCAGAATCAAAAGAACAATAATAGGCAGGCAATAAAACACTGCTAAAGTTGTAAGGCAAAATTTGGTAAAGAGGTACTTCCTCCGTTTCACAATGTAAGACTTTCTAGCATTGCTCACATTCATATAGATGTTAATAAATCTAGGCATATATATATATGTGTGTGTGTGTGTGTGTGTGTGTGTGTGCCACTGCACAGTGAGCTGACTTCCTTCTTAATGTACAGCTTAATCTGTCAGTTTTTATCACGATACCCTCAAATGAGCTTCATGATTAACATAAGAGGAGTTGAAAAATGATATTGCATAAGACCACAAAGCAAAGTAAAAAGTGTGATGCATTGAAACAGAACAATATGCTGAAATCAAATGAAAAGAAATCAATACCATAAGGACTTTGAAGGTGTTATACTTGGATAGGTCCATACTTGATTACAGCCCTGACAAGTATATTCCATGTAATTACAGTCGGTATAATGCCTCGTGAGAGAACCTCATCCAATAACTGGATCCCCTCATGTATTCTGTCACAAGAGCATAGGCCCTTGATTCTTGTATTGTATGAAATTATGTCTGGTTCCAACCCATCTTCTGTTATGGAGGTCCAGAGAGTTGCTGCTTTGTCAATATAGCCAGTTTCATAAAGTCCATCCATCAGGGTGTTATAAGTCACTAGATTTGGGGGACAATTCTTCTTCTCTTTCATATCTGAGAAAACATGGAGAGCTTCATCAACTTTGCCAGCAGAACAAAGGCCATGGATTAGGATGTTATGCATCATCACATCAACCTTGAGACCCTTATAAAGAATTTGTTTCCAAATAGAAAGAGCATCATCAATCTTCTTGTCACTAAAAAGGCCACGGATCAACGATCCATAAGTAGTGATATCTGGTGTAAAGCCATTCTCTACCATTTCCCTTGCAACACTTGAAGCTTCTTGATACTTTTCAGCCTTACACAGACCATCTATTAAAGTGTTGTATGTGATGACTGTAGGAGAACAACCATTGTCTGCCATCTTGCTGTAAATTCTAACAGCATCACTAGTCCTGTATACTTGGCAGAACCCACTTATTAGTGCATTGTAAATATGAGAATTCGGTTTGCACCCATCCTTATCCATCTTCTCATATACTTTAACCGCATCAACTAACCTCCCAACATTGCATAATCCATTGATCATGGATGAATATGAGAACACATCTAATTGTTTGCCACTGACTCGAGCTTCCTCAAATATTGTAAATGCCTTATTAGCAAAGCCATTCTGGCATAATCCATGGATCAGAGTGCCAAAAGTCACTGTGTCAGGAATGCAAGCCACATCTTTCTCCAATAGGTCCCATAACTCTATAGCCTCATCAACCATACCACTGTCAAAGAGCCCCTTTATCATTATATTGTAAGTTCTTAAATTACGAAGCCCTGCAAACCCAGCACTATCCCAGAACTTCCAAGCTTCCTGTACCCTCCCTGCTTGACAGAACCCCTTGACGAGTGAATTATACATGGCAGCATCAATAACAAGCCCAGTCTTGATAATCTCAGAGTATACTCGTGCTGCACCATCCACATCTCCAGATCGGCACAAACCATGGATCAAGATCCCATAGGTAATTACATCTGGTTGGAGATTATTTGCCACCATCCTTTCCCAGACCTCACCCACCTCCTTGAATCTCCCAAACTTACACAATCCATCAAGCATCACATTGTAAGTAGCGAGGTTGGGCCTTGCACCTGGGTCCTTAACCAGTTTGTCCCACACCCTCATGACTTTCTCGAACTCACCGGCCTTAAAACACCCACCGAGGAGTGCATTGTAACAAACGACATCAGGCTGAACTCTACTCCTCGGCATTTCGTCGAGCAGGTCGAGGGCGTGATCCAAGCGGTCCTGTTTCGCGAGCCCGCACATGAGGGTCGAATAGGTGATGCGGTCGGGAGCAACTTGGCGGCGTCGCAGGGAGTCGAACAGAGTGACCGCTCGATCGAGGTCGCCACGGGCGCAGAGAGAGCGGAGGACGATGTTGTAGGTCTGAAGGTTGGGGGCGATGCGGCGGCCGAAGGCGCCATGGGAGAGGGAGGCAAAGAACGCGTCCGCGTCGGAGAAACGACGGGCGCGGACGAACGCGTCGAGGAGGGCGTTGTGGGAGCGGATGCCGGGGTTGCAGCCGAGGATGGAAGGGAGGGCGCGGAAGGCGTCGAGCGCGGCGTCGGGCATGATGGCGCGGGAGAAGGCGGATAGGACGACGAGCGCCGCGGACTCGGAGAAGCGCGGGCGGTGGCGCAGCCGCGGGAGGAGGTTGAGGAGGCGAGGGAGGTGGGACGGGGAAGAGGTGGCGAGGCGGCGGAGGAGGTGGAAGAGGAGCGGCTGGGGCGGTGGGAAGGCCGGGCGGGTGGAGACGAGGAGCTCAAGGTGGGCGAGCGCGGCGGTGGCGTCTGGCTCGGACTTGATCAGCTCCAGGAGGCGGTGGATGGGCGGCGGATCGGGATCGAGTTTCGCCGGCGGCATTGGGTTGTGGGAGCCGTCGCCACTTGCGGCGGCTGCGCGAGCGCGGAGGCCGGAGGGGATTTATATATTTTTGCAGAATTTGCGGATGGTTGCTGGACGCCCTGACCTGGACTGAATGAGGACTTGGCGGCCAAACGGTGCGAAATAGTTGAGGCTAGGGTCGAGTTAGGGCTACTTTTGGAGTTTAGATTGAAAACTTCCAAAAGAAATTTAGATATTTCATTTCTTGACAAATATCTCCTATAAGTTTATGGGAGTATCTAAGAAAACTGAAAACTGACGTAAGTTTTTCGAGTCAAACACTTTAATATAACTATAATATAACTGAAATTTACTTACTTCACTACATTATAACTGTGTTGTAACTACGATGTCTTATAAAAAATAGTCTTCAATTATGGTTTGGTTAGCTAGATCTGGGATTTTACGCGTGAAATATGTAAAAATTTCCTTCTAGCATTTTTTTCCTTTATACACAAATCATGAAGCAATTCAATGGTTGCAAAACTGAAAGTTCTAGGGGCAAAAAAAAAACACTTGCGGAAGTTTTCTAGCAAATCCGTAAGTTCATTTCTAACAAAGAAATGGAGTTTGCAAAATCCTATGTATTAATTTCTTATTATGTCCTGATTTCGCGTAGGAAAACAACAGATCAAGTCTCAAGTCCTATCTCATGTTTTCATTCTTCTTAAAAAAATTCCAACCCACTCATTCTCTTTGTCTCTCTACACACTCTAATTCCTTCAAAATTCTAACGATTTGTTTTCTATTAACTATCCAAACGTATTATGATTTTTTTACACTTTAGACTTTTTTTAAAAAAAATATTTTACAAATAAATCCCTGAAAATCTAATTATAGGAATGGACTCTTTTCAATATGATGATGACAAACATGTTAGCGCCGTCCCTCTAGCCTCCTAGTGGAAGGTAAATTACTAAATGAAAGGGGTCGGCGCCAATGTCATTGGCATTGGTGCACCGAGAATCTATTTGTCAAAAAAAAAGACCTATTTGTAGTAAAAAAATATTTATGAACAGTTTCTCCGTGTTAATATCACTTACGTCAAGGACCTATTTGTAAATATTCTTTTTACAAATAGGCTATTTTCAAAAAAAAAAGCACAAATAGATTCTCACATAAGTGACTTAGCTAGTGCGAGAAGGTTAGCAGAAGGCATCGTTATATTGTACCACAACGCCAATGATGTTGGCATGGTGGTGTCGCAAAAAGGGACTCCATTCGTAAATTAAGTTTTTTGAAGTGCCTATTTGTAAATAAGTTTTAAAAAGGAAAAAAATAAAAAAGCAAATATATTGCTTCTAATATTAATGTTTTGCAATCCTATAGGATTCCGTTATGCATAGCATCATATTTCTAGTTTTTTTCCCTGTTACCGTTTTTCCAAAATAATGTGTTCCAAAGGAACTCTTATAATAGAGAAATATTTATCTACCTAAAGGAAAATATTAGGTTAATTTCTGAGGGAGAGCAGCCGCACGCAGATTGGAATTGGGGCATCGCCCTGGCAGCCTTGTTTGGGACAAGGAAAAACTCTTTTAATTCCTGCGGGTCCCGATTCTTCCTATACAGGCCAAATCAAATTGCGACACCTGTCCAGGGTGGCCCTACTTAATTACGCATGCAACGGAGGTTTAACGAGGACTAAACGGCACAAGGCATCACGTTAACTTCTGTTATCTGGATTTCTCTTTCCTGTTGGTAATCCCCTTCTCACTCCCATAAAAAAATCCCCTTTCCTCTCCAGCCTTCTCTTTCCTCAACCACTCCTGAACTGCATCACAAAGCAGTGAAAGCACATCCAAAAGATCTTGCACATGGCGCCATACTCTCAAGGCAAGCTGTCGGGAGCGAGGTCAATGCTTACCACGCCATTGCCAGCTGCTGCAAATGTGCCTGCACACCTGCCGTTGGCTGGGAAGTGGTGCTCACCATGGGCCATCGAAGAGGACGACGGTCTCGAGGCAGGCCGCCGGGGTGGGGCGGCGGTGCTTGCCGGGTGCCACTACAGGCTTGCGCACTTGCCGTGGGGCGTCCTGAGGAGGTCGCATCGCTCACCGTGGGAGAGTGGCCGGCGGAAGGAGCCGTGGTCGCCATGGAGACTTAGAGCAGGGAGAGGTCATGCAGTCCTGATGGATTAGGTTGGGCTTGCTCTGGATCGACCAAGCCTGTCACAGGTTAATGTCTAACTGCTTAATAATTTTTTCTTGTACTATAATGTATACACACCATAAGCATAGATATATTGTTTAGATTGCAAATGGAAATATTAATGACATTGAACTGCAGATCGAGATGTAAAAAAAGCCCAATTTTGTGCCTGAGTGTTTGCTCTATATAAATAAAAGAAAATTTCAAGAACCAATCCATATGTTGCATATATTTTTAATAAAGGAGGACAACTAAGATAGAAAATATCAAAAGGTTATTCTAGTTTCTACAGATCTAGAAATGCTTGTCTTGCAGATTTTCTGATGGGTCATTGGGGACCTGCAAGATTGGTGTACAACTACATTAGTTGGGCTGAAGTGTGAAAAAATATAACTTGGATATGACCATGTTTAAATGGACTGATACCTCACTTGGCATCTGATCATTCTCATTCGATACGGTGAAATTAGGAATTACTTCAGATGTTGTAGAAGTTCCACCAGCATTCCTGTCCACTTTAGATTTACCTGTCAGATTCAAAATTTATTAGCCCTTTATATATAATTCACTATATGCAGTATGTATCTTTGTAATTAATAAAAAAAACCTTTCTTTGGCTGCTTTTTCTTGTTCGATTGAAGTCCTGATTTAATCCTTTTGTTACTGTTTCCTTTTTGTTCCTTTCTCTTTATTCCCTGTACAAGGGTTACATTTTCACTGTTGCATCCAATTGGTCGTTTCTCTGCTGATTTATGGCTAGTTGATGTACCTTCTGACTTGTTTGCTTGCATGATTTGGTCAACTTGTTCCATCAATTCCAATGAAGTTCTTTCTAGTAGTGCATAAGCTTCCTCATTTTCTGCAGCTTTGCTTAATATATTGTTGTAAGACCGACATAATGATCCATACCTCCTAGCTAGAACAACTCTAGCATCTTCATCATTAGCACATTTTCGATTAGCCTGTGATGATCCTATCTTTGCATATTTTGTCCATCTCTTCAAGATGTACTCTGATGGTAACTCCTTGATATTGTTATGGTCCAACACCTTCAATGCGTGGCGGCATAGTATGCCAACAAATTCAAACTTTTTGCATGAGCAAGAAACTTTAATTTCATTGGGATCAAACTTCACCAAGAAACCATGCTCTCCATGCTTAGCTGAATCAATAACCTTGTATTCAGAAGTTGACAAGGTGTGATCGTTGTTGTATAAACAACATCCCATCACCATATCATATTCTTCTCGGAATATCTCAAAAATGGCCGGTGTATATGCTTTTGAAGCTTGTATCAACATATGCACTTTTGGCATTCTTGGGGATGTTTGGCTTGCGTAGAAATCACTCTACAGCTCAGCATGCCTTCTATCATCTACTGCTCTTTCAAAATGCTTAAAAAAATCTAATAGATCAAGCCGCACATGCAAGTATCTTTTCAGCAGGGCATTGAGACTCTCACTTCTCTGTGTGGATTTCATATCTGCACAGAATGTTTGCCGACCATAAACTAAAGCCCACTTCTCCTTGATCTCAAATAAATGATGTAACCATTGGTTATCATTCAAATTGTACTCCTCTATCATCTTGTTCCATGCTGATATGAACTCATCAACTTCTTCAAAATCAAAAACACACTTGCCAAAATCATTCTTAAATGTTTTTGAACCTTGGAAAATGTGACTCAAATGTACCGCAGCATTTTGGTACATATGCCAAACGCAGAGACGATGAGTTGAGTTGGGAAAGACAGTCCCAATAGCATTAATGATGGCTGCACATTGATCAGTTAATATTGTCCTTGGTTCTTTGCCTGACATGGCTCTTTTGAAAGTTTCAAATAACCATTCAAATGTTGATGTTGTTTCATCATACAGTAACGCTGCTCCAAAAACAACTGTTTGCTTGTGATGGTTTACACCAACAAAAAGAGCAAATGGCCTACCATAATTATTTGTCCTGTATGTTGTGTCAAAGCATATGACATCACCAAAATAATCAAAATCCAATACTGATCTTGCATCTGCCCAAAATATATTAGTCATCATCTCATCTTCATCTACTTGTATTGCATAGAAGAATGAAGGGTTTTCCATTTGCTTGTCCTGTAGGTACTGAAGAATGGCACCCGTATCCCCTTCTTGGATAGATTTCATGCGCTTTGATCGGAGATAATTTTTATAATCTTTTCTGGTAAATGTAAGACTTTGCCGCCCACCTGCTTGCCTACTCATCACCTCATGGCCTTCTTTGGATCTAACACCTGAATCATTCAAGATGTCAATTTGAGCTTTTTGAGCTTCTGTCATTCTTCTCTGAGAACGTAACAAATGGGCCTTGCTAGGAGTTATGAGTTCATGGTTATGCGTGTTAGAAAAGCTAGCTATAGCATATTTTCCAGTAGGAGTGATCTTAATGGTCATCTCTGCCATACAACCAACTCTTGTATCAGCTCGCTTCCGTTGGCATGCATCTGAAGTATTCCTCTTATTGAACCCCTCCCTTGAGCACACAAATTTTTTTGTGCGAATCACATTTGTTGAAGATTTATCATGCCAAAACTTTCTAATGCTAAAGCCAACATCTCCAGCATACCGATTGTAGAACTCATATGCTATATCTTCATCATCAAATTCCATGCCAATTACTGGCTCTAACTTTTGCACACAAGCATCATCAGTACTGCTTATATTCGTGTCTCCCACGTCTTCTTTTTCATGATCTAAATATAAGAATAAGTATAACGTGATCATTATTGTGTATATGCTAGTTTAACATGCAAGGAACAATATAAAATCATATTCACCATATATAGGTGAAACCAATCTAATTTAATAACAATTAGCAGATAACTTATGGCAGAGATTGAGACAAACTAATCGGGTCTTGCCAAGTTTATGGACAATTAACATACTCTTTGAAGATGAAGGGTGGACTGGGGCTTCCGCCATGCGTCTTGCTTCACGAGGACACTGATCTCTATCAAGAATCACCAATCTAATTTTAGAGATCTAGCAGTACAGAAGAACAGAGAAAGAGGAAAGAAACTCTGTGCGGCGTCGCGCGCGACGTCAAAGTATTTCGCGGGTGAATGGTTCTGTTATCTGATTTTGTGGGATCGTGGTTAAACCTCCGTTTACATTGTTACTTGGTTGATTGGGTGGACCTACCTTGTGTACAGGTGTCGCGATTTGATTTGGCCTGTATATTACTATGTGCAGGGTTCCCTGCACCTGAGCCGGACTACCCATCCACCCCCAGTTGGGCAGAGAGGTCCCCCGGAGTCGCGTCGCGTAGGCGTAGCGTTTCGCTGGCTCCCCCCTGCCGCGTCTCTCGCTGGGCCGTGCCCGACCCGCGAGACCCGGCGACCGTCTCCTCGCCTGTCCTCTCCTGTGACCGTGAGTACTTCTCCCCCCCTCCCTTTCCCTTCTCGTCGCCCCTCCTCCTCACCCTCCCCCTCCTTTCTCCTGCCCCTTCTTGTACAGTTCCATCTTTTTATAATTTGCTTTATTTAGCTGCTCGTATAGCTTCGTTAATTCCATGGTGAAATTGCTGGTAGAAACGCTAAAATGGTAGCCCTAATTTTGGGGGAAATTTGGAGCCGGCGCACCCCAGTCTCGTGAACGGGCAGTTCTGTTTAGTCGTGAGCTAACGGCTAATCCTCCCTATAGATCTAGAGTTTGTTAGAGTGATTGTACCACATATTTAGAGCTTTTCCGGTGTCGGCGCTCGATCCAAAGTCTCTCCGCGCCGCAGGATTCGCTAATTGGGGTTGCACAGTTCACGGTTTGGGTGGCTGATTCCTCTTGCGAAGTTGAGACCGTGCCTTGATTCGAATCGGCTACTTCAGCGAATCGGCTGCCGTGGAGTATCTCATCTTCAGGAATCTTTCGCCTGCATCACCACCATTCACCAATCCCTATACCCGCGAAGAATTTGACCACTTCCTTTTCTTCTCGTAACTCCTAGTGCTACCAGGTCTAGGGGTCAATCTCCCAACTCGTCGTGTCCTCCGCTGGTTGGAGCTGCTTGCCCTGTCCTGTCACCCCCATCAACAACAACAGATGAACAGAAGGTCGCGGTAGCACCACAGATAAACGTACAGGAATTCGCGTCAGATTCTCTCCATGCTCGTCCGAGGTACCGTTGCTGTCTCCGCCGCCGCCGTCCTGTCTCGGCCGGGCTGTTTACCCGGTCACGTTTCGATTAGGGCCCTGGGGACTGGGGTTGCTGGAAACTTGAATGCGTGCATATTGGATATGCAGCAAGAACTAGAAGACATTCCTTGGGAAGAACTAGACATTCCTTGTTCTTCAGGTCCTTGTCTTCTCCGTACTACTTACTTGTACTATACTTTGCATCTAATTGCTGGATGCCCTGGATCTGGTTGTTGGCATGGAGCAAACCGGGACGGAACACTGCCGGCAGGCGGCGTATGTGCACAAGTACAGCTATCGAAATCCTTGTGGACTTGTGGTCTCACTTAAGTCGTGTACCCAACTAGATATTGGCGTGTGGCTCATCTCTTATCTCATCTTCTTCCATGATCAAGAGCAAATCCCATCAAATCTGATGCGTCCTTGTCGGGGCCATCTGATGCCCGTGGCCTCTTGGCCTCTTCCACTTTGCCCCCAATTCTACTAAGGTTTATTTCCAGAGCTTGAGTCTCAAGATGGCTGTGGGTACTATATTGCACATCTGACACCTGAATAAATCAGAATAAATGAGAGAAACAGCTGTTTGATACTCCATCCATCCTAAAAATTATAGTCAATCTTTTTATTTCAAATTTGAAACGGAGGGAGTAGCATAATTTGTGAAGACAAGTTTAAATTTCAAGCAAACTATATTTTTTTTGGCAACCGATTATTCATGGTACCTTTCAAATGCGCGATTTTTACTGATTATTTATGGTACCACTAAACACATGAATTTTGCAGCGTTTGGTTCAAATCCTCCATAATTCCTTTGAAATTCCTCAATTCTAAAGAAAGTCCTAGAGTTGTTTAAACAAAACACAAGAGATAAACTGTAGAGATAATTAATAAATAGACTAGCAGTTATATTCAGATTTAGGTGTTTTGTTATGCTTCTGCATATAGGTTTTTTTAACAAGTAAGGTTAGATAAGCTGCGGCAAGTTTTTTGTGGTGCATATTTTCAAGCTGTACGTCTTAATGACACATAAGTTTTAATTTTTTTTCCAAAAAAAACCAGTTTTTTAATAATTAAAAAAAACCTGTTTATATCAATCTTCTTTTGGTGACGCCGACATGTCAGCGGGCCAAGAAAGGACCACGACGTTGTGCTTTGCACAAATACTGTAGCACCACGCCAGTACCCCTTGTTGAGTTCATTGCATCGTGCTATCATTGCAGTGCTTACTCATCAACGAGCAAAAGCAAAATAAAACCATAAAAAAAGTCCTTGAAGAATATTAGTTCGGTCTATAATTTGACAGAAGTAGTAGCCCTACTGCCCCATCGCTGGCTTATAAGGCATAACAAAAAAAACTTAAATATGAAGTTGGCTTTGAGATTTTTTTCATCTTAATTTATTCTTCAAATTAGTTTTGAATCGTTACTAATACCTATGTAAAAGTTTTATTTATAATTTATTTTAGATTAGCTTGATCTTTTTTCCCTTAAATCAAGTTTAACAGTAGAACCCACTGCTAGCTATAAGTTCATTATAGAGCTAACATGTATAATAGATTAGCTATGAGGTCAATTCTGTTTTTCCCTTTTATTTCTCTTACTATGACTTACATATATTTCATAGAACATGTGTAAAGGTGGCTTTTGTATGAGAGGTTGAGAGCCAATACTCCATACTTTTCTTTACCTCTTTTTTTCATGTTTAGAGCTCACTATTTATCCTTGCTTTTATCGACCAAAGTGCATGTAATAGGAGCGTAGAACTAAAAAGATGCAAGTAGCGCATTGATTACTACCTTTGTTCTAAAATATAAAAAGATTTGATGTTGAACATGGTTATCAAGAAAGTAGTAGAAATTAAATGTCTAATTGACGTTTTTGGTTCAGAAGAAAAAGTATTTGGCAAAAATTAAGAAAGGTGAAATATTGTGGTTGATTGAAAAGAGAATAAATTGTTATATTTTAAGGTAATTCTAGGATGCTAGAAGTAGTATGTTAGGACGAGCCTAATAGATACCAACGGACTGAGGTAGTGTTTGGATTCAGGTAGTAAATTTTAGTCCCTGTCATATCGGATGTTTGGACGCTAATTTGGAGTATTAAACTTAGACTAATTACAAAACTGATTGTATAAATAAGAGCTAATTCGCGAGACAAATTTTTAAGCCTAATTAATACATAATTAACACATGTTTATTGTCGCATCACATAGGCTAATTATGGATTAATTAGGCTCAATAGGCTCACATAGTCCAGGGTTATGGAATGGGTTTTGTCATTAGTTTATGTTTAATAGTTCTAATTAGTGTCCCAATATACGACGTGACATGTACTAAAATTAGTCCATGTGTTCTAATTAGTGTCCCAACATACGACGTGACATGTACTAAAATTAGTCCATGTGATCCAAACACCACCTGAATATGGAGCGCTGCATTACAATCGATTTTAATTTCTCTGGCTTGCAGTAATGCAATAGGAAATCTTACAGTACTCAAGTCAAATCTAAGAGCAAGTTTAATACTCCCTTATCCTATAATATAAGGTGTGCACGTATTCCAAGATTTAACTTTAAAAAAATTTGACCAACAATTATTATAATATAAATTAAATTTTATTTGCTAAAATTAATATCATTGGATTGACATTTAAATTTATTTTAACATGGTTATAATTTTGTTACAATAAACCTTATAGCATATGAGAGATTATAAGTCAAAGATTAGTTTTGAAGACTGTGACAAGTTTGACCATGCCTTATATTATAGGATGAAGGGAGTAGTATACCTAACTACTACCTCCAAATCATCTATAGCCAATTCATACAATAATTACTTATAAATATATACTTCCTCCGTATCACACTATTAAGAGCAAGGCTAATAATAAAGCCGACCTGTTGCCTATAAGGTTTTTTTAGCCTTCTTTCAGCCCGCCCACATAATAGCTAGCTTTTTACAATTAATACATGGTCCACTTATCTTTCTCACAAAGTTTCTTGGTTCTGTGTCCAAGCTTAATATAAGTTTACAGCCCACTTCTCCTCTCTCTCTTATCTTCTCTTCTCCACCTCAACATTTAGCCGGCTTATAGCTACTATTATACTTGCTCTAATACACACATTACGTCTTAAAGTCTGTACTGCAGCTACTGCTCATATCTTTTTTCTTTTATCTTCTCGATATGTGTTTATAGCTGGCTTACAGTCCGCTATTGTACGAGCTGTGCTCGGAGGCGTCAATCCTCTTCAGCTTTGCGTGACAAGAGGCACACTGGCACAATGAACCCGTCTCACTGGCTGTGGGGCCCGTCAGGCTTTGCATCGACGGACCACACCTGCGCTCCACTCCCTAACCTCGAACATTCCATAATTCCATCCCAAATTTTACGAGTTACAGCTAATAAACCGCGGTCTCCATCCTCGCAGGCGCAGGCGGGAGCAGCAAGCTGGGGGCGCGCGGCGAGGCGGCTGCTACACCCGCCGCCGCCGCGGCCGGCCGCGGCGACCTCGCCCCGATGGTCGGGATGTACCAGCAGCAGCTCGTCGAAGATCCCTTCCCCCTGAGCGGCGGCTACTGCAGTGACCAGCCACGGCACGCGCCCGCCTCCGCCTCCACCTCCACCTCCACATCCTCGTCAGCTGCCGTTGCAGCCTCGCCGCTGGCGCAGGCGCATGGAGCCGGCGAGCCACGGCGGCTGTTCGAGGCGTTCATGGGGGAGATCCTGCTCCCGCTCCGCGGCGAGGGAGGTGCCAACGGCGGCGGCGTCGGCCGCGGTCCCGGCGGGGTTGGGGATCTGGGGGAGTTGCTGCGGTGGACGCGGGAGGTCGCCGCGAATCCCGTGGCGGCGCGGCCTGTTCCGGCGGAGGTCAAGGCGAGGAAGCGGCAGGTGCTGGCCTTACGGCGCGCTCGCTACCTCAGGATGGAGGACGTTGCGAACGCGGACGAGCTACCCAGCTTCTTCAAGGTGAGCTCCTTTACTCAATTTCCGATCTGTTGCCCATATATTGCGCGTCTGGCCTCTTGCTTGATACGCGCCCGTTGGTGTTTGCTGCTGC